CAGATAAGCATTACTGTTTTGCTTAAATAATATGAAGCTGCAACACGTTGTTGGCACGCTGAATACAGCCTATAAATAACGACTTAATCTTTTTTCCGGTTGACTGATAAGTAACTCAGCGGGTGGTTCTCTTTTTTTTTTTCAGCCGATCGTAATTAACGGTAAACAGATAGTGATTAAATTGTAAGCCGCATCAATCTTAACATTTACAGTGCATCTTCTTTTTTGGATCATTCATCTTCCAAAAGCGCTCATTAAAAAATCCAAGATGTCTGTATAAAAAATCGCAAAAGGAAAAGATTATAAAATACAGTATGAATACTGTAAACACACAAGAAATAATTCAATGAAACAATGAATTTTTTACAGCCGTTACTAACGACATGTAAAATCTTTCAAATTGATAACCAAATAAGGAATTAAAGAAAAAAAAAAAGGGGAATGTTTGATATATTTGAAGTCTAAACTGAAATAATTTCAGATTGTACAGTCGCTGAACAATGACAGCAGAAAAATTTGTTGCTATTTAAATGTTTATTTCATTTAAGAACAAGAAAATTTGCAGAGCATTAGATGAGAACAACAATAACATCTAAGCAGTGTTTAAGTTTCTTCCTGCAACTTTTGATTATTTAAAAAACAACATCAATGTAGAATCAATAATTTGATGTTTAATTAACCATAAAGTTTTTTTTTATTATATGTTCAGTCCGTCAGTTAACAGTTTATTGCTACAAGTAATACTGCAGTAAACAGAAAATGAACACTATATTGAACTAAAACAAAAAAAAAAAAAAGCAGATAAAAAGAACACTGTTAGTTCAGATTAAACCTTTTACAAAGAGCAGTTGAATTTTGTAGCCTAACGTATCGGTTAGATAACAATTTGGTAAGATTACTGTAGAATGCCTGCTGAAATACTGTAAAACCGATAGACACAACAACTTTTCATTTATCAACAAAAAAAACAAAATTTATTTCATGCAAAATATATAAGAGCTAAATTTTATTTTGATCCGCTTTTTATACTGACCAAAAATAAATAGAAGGGCATTATTGCATATTATGAAAAATAATTCTTAGACTACTTCCCAACAGTAATATTTGAATATCTTAGCCAGTGTATGATAGAGCAACAGTAACTGCATAGACTGCACTTTTAATCGCACTTTTATAGTACCCATACATCCAAAAAATAAGTTGATATCTTTTGATTCAACCTTTCAAACCAATAATTTTGATGCACCCTAAAACTTTCTAGTTGTTTTGCAATTTCATGAAGAAAATTTAATTATAATTTTTCTCGATCTTCTCCGCCTCCAATCAAAATGAAAAGAAAATTTTGACCAAAATAATATAGAAAAAAAAAAAATTGATGTACAAACTAGAACTTATAAGTGGCACTTGACAGATAATTTTATTACCTTTTAAAATTTAACTGATACACTGTAAACAGTAATCTGACTTTTCAGCTCAACTTCTTACACATCACTTTCTGATGCATTTTTTATTTTCCTACTTCCAGTCATCTATTCAAACATTCAATTTTTGTGCCTCCGTATGCTTTCAACAAAAAAAGTTCTCATTTGCAGCCAACATTAGATGAACTGAAATGCTGACCAAAAAAACCTGTTTATAGCGGAAAGAACAGTACAGATTTAAACAGCTTTTTTTTTTTTTTTTTAATAACAAAAACTCACTTACGCGGTAATAGGAGAAGCTGTCGATTTGTTTCAGAAGATTTACAGTCTAGCAACCTGGACGTGAAATGCAGCATACTTCTGTATAGTTTTAGCGGCGAGCTGTTCAAATTTGACTTTTGCCAGACCTTACTCAACGGGGCCAACAGAACGATATTTCATTTCCTAAGACTGTTCGCTGTAAATCCCCTGCATGGTAAACAAGCCTGTTTCTGTGTAGCTCTTCCATCCCTTAGATCCTATTAAACCTGTCCACCTGTAGATTTAAATTTTTTTTTTTTTTTTGACAATCACAACACTTGCCAGAACTCAAGGTACCGCTCTTTCTCTGAATGGCAATTGGCAACGGTTATACTGCATAAACTTTTTATGCAGTTGTTTTTCATCACTTGCAGCTTACCGACAATTACAGGTGAGAAGAATTGAAGAACAATAAAGTACAGCTGGTTCTATAAAACCTTTTTATACTCAGCAATGTCGACAAGTTGGATAGAGCGAGGTATGTGTGGGACTTTGTAATGTAAAGGTTCAGCCAAATGGGCAACGCAGTTACCGTGACTACTGGCCTCAGGGGTCCTTTTCGTCATTTTATTCATTTTGTGGTTACTCGCTGAAAGTCTGCGATGCATTGAGTTGCGACAGATGTGAATAATTTAATAAGTTGAAACCTGTGTTAAACATTTTCTGGCGGAATAGATGTTGCTAGAATAGTTCTCAGGTTATCAACTGGAGAACAACTCGGCACTTGGTCACCTAAACACGGATGCCGTTTGATAAATTTCTTTATATATAGGTTTTTTAGAGCGTTATGCGGCTGTTTTCGCGTTTTTTTTTATAATTATTTTTGCATTTTTTTACTGTTGTAATAACTTCTTCTTCTGTTATATTCGCCTTAGTTTCTTAGTTCCCTAGTGTTATTGTTTGTCTAGCTAAATTTTTGCAACTTTGTCACCTAATTTGTTAAATGGACTGTAAACCTATGTCGGTCTTTATAGAATAATTTGTGCGAAATAACTCATCTACATAAGGTGAAAATAATTACTAATTTCTTGTGCTTTCGTTTGCAGTATTCTGACTTTCCAGGCCTTCTCCTTCTTACCCGTTCAAAACATCTTTTTTTCAAATTCCAGGAAAGTGACTCGACACGAGTAGCACTGGTATAATATGGTAATTTTGGCTCTCCCATCTTCACTGGAAAATTTTGAAGGGCGAGTGAATCATACTGCAGTTGCTGGGCAGTCTGAAACTATAGTATTCGTTTCGCCGTTAGGAAGCGAGCGTTATAAAGCTAATATTACTGCTTGTTTAAAGGGGATTGCTGAAAACCTAGAAGCTGTACCTTCGCCTTCAGTACCTAAACAAGGCTAGTTACTATAAGTAACCTCAGTTTCTCAATTAATTGGGATGTTGTTCTAATAAAGGCATCAGTTGGATTGGGAAACAAATAACCTGTTGTAAAAGTATTTCGGTGGCGCCTTCTTTCAAGCAAATACTTGCTTTTTGCTGGCATGGATTGTAACAGTTTAAAACTTTTTACAGGGCTACTTTTCAAAAACATGAAGCACTGAAGATACAAGTTGTTATTTGTTTTGTAAGGACAAAGATACTTGAAAGACATCAGAAAGTATTAATGTTGGAAAAAACACTCTGCACATAAGAATTAGGAGGATCTAGTGGGTTGCAGAAGTTGTTTAGGAAATAACCTTAATTGAAACCGAAGACTGTGGTTTAGCAAAAAACTCTGGGCTTTAATTTCTTACATAGTTACTTTGTAGTCTCTGCAGGTTTTTCTCAGTTGCTCTTCACTATGTTTTTTTTAATATTATGACTTTTTTACTATATCTAAACTACCAGTTTCTCAAGTCCTTTTAGGTGAAGCTTATATTGCGAAAGTAGGGGGACTTCTTGAGCGGGCTCATATCATTCGTAGACCAACACCAACAAGATTTCAGGTGTGTCCTTCGTACTGTAGATTTGTGAGATATGGGCACTTTTAGAACCAGAGACGCCTTATTTAACGCTATAAATTGTGCTGTTTGCACAAAATTAGTCTTTTTCAAAAGTGACTGTGCTCTTTTTTCAGATTTATTTGCTTGATCAGGGTTTCCAGGATGAAGTTGAGTACACCGACCTGTTCGAATATCCGGAAGAACTGCTAAGTGTTGGAGCATTTACATGTATTTGCCCCGTATTGGTATCTTCAGATGAGTTACCAAAAGTGGATAATAATATAATCGATCGTAAATGTATTTGTATTGTAGGTTTGTGAAATATTTTGTACGATTGGTTTTGGCTTTTTCGTCTTTTTCAGTATAACTTTAACAAGAATTTGTTGTAAGTTTTGTTTTTTTTCTCTAGTTGTTGTAACTGTCTGTCTCATTTTTCAGAAGGAGTAGCAAAATCTGTCGTGGTTTTCGGCTTTGTAAAAGGAAAACTCTCAGTAGAAAACGTTAATGGGTTGGCAGATTCTAAGAAAGATGCGCTTGGTAAAGGAAGTTTATAATTCATGAAATGTATTATCTGTTGTGTTTTGGTGAAGAATATCAGTTAGCTTGCATTTTTTTATTTTTCAATGCAGTTGTTTATGACTCCTAAAATTACATTGGGCTCAGTTTTTTTAAAACTGGTTGTCAGGTTTTAGATTCGAGGTCGTTTGAGTCTTTTGACAGTTCAACGTTTGATGGGAGAAGCCTTTCAAGTACTTCAGATTCTTTCAGTGAAAGTGAACTGATATATTCTTTTAATGTATGTATTTTTCACTCTTCTTCCAGATCTTTGATATCTTCCCAGTGTAGGTTGAAGGGGCAAATTCAGGATAGTGCGTGTGTAAAATAAATACTAGAAAAGAAAAATTGGCTTGAATATTTTGAGACCAGAATTTGCTTCAAAGTTTTTGACCACGTGCTCTTATTGTGAATTATTCGATACTGAAAAAAAAGATCTGCACTTGACTTTATTTAAATGCAAAATGTCAAGGCATCAAGTTCGACTCATGTGTTAGCAATATCTAAGCAAGCTTAGTTATTATAGACAACTTGGCTCATTAACTGATTGAAATGTGTTACTAACAGCACTGACAGTATTGAAGAAAGCGAATAATGCTTAAAGATTTTTCATGAAAGACGAGCAGCGCATATACCGCACCTGTCTTTTATTTATTTTGAAAAAAAGCCATTTCATATTAATCTCCACAGGGACTGACTTGAACTAAGTAGATCTGCAAGGTAACTTGCAGGGAAATACTTTACAGTTTTGCAGCATACGTTCCTTTCTTACTCAATTATTATCATGAAGTTTTTCAAAGGTTCGCTTGAATTGTTCCATAAAAGGATTTACGAAGTTATATTCATAGTCGGTGGTGTTCGGTGGCTACGTTCTACACGTTGTGTTTAGGTCGTGGCATACTCTCGTGGAGATTTAGTCAGGTTTAAAGGCTTTAGTTTTTAAATAACTCTTATAAGGTTGTTCTGTGAGATACACCTCTGATCCTCAGCGCTACTTATTCTGGTAGTAAAGGGAGTAGCGAGACACGTTTTGATAACAAAGAAGAGAATTTTGACCAAATAATTGGTCAAGTATGGCCCTTAATTCACTTCGCAAATACGCGAAAGCTAAGTGTTCTAGTAATTGGTGGGAAAAGGATGTCGCAAAACTGTAACGTATTTCTCTGAGAACTACTCTGCTGGGTTTACTTGACGGAGGTTGAATATGATAACAAGTTTTTTAACATAATTTCTTGGTGATTATATGGTTTGCTAAAGATCGTGAAAGCGTTCGTCGTTGTTTTTTGAGATAAAGTAGGCCTTCGAGTTCCAAAATTAGAACGGAATTGAGTGTGGGTGAATTTTAGTAAATGAATGATAGTGAGTTTTGCAGAAAGTTTCAAATGTAAAATGTTTACGGAAAATCTTTTCAATCTATATTCCACGTGAGCTCGGCTATGCTTGACTCAGCACCTTTGCCATGCTTCACTGCACTGGGAGAGTACTGAAGGTTCAAATGAATTTATTTGGAACAGAAATATTGCGATTTTAAAGGAACACCGCAATTCTTGTTCTACCAACTTTTGTTTCATAATAATTTCAATTTTTATTTTTGCTACTTCGCTCCTGTTTATAGGGATCTGATTTTAATGATAGGGTGTACAAAAAAAACGATGAAGTGTTTAGGAGCCGTGCCGGTTCGGGTAAGTTAATTCCATATACATTTCACTTTATTTTTATAATCATAGCCTTTTATGCCTATAAACTTTAACTGATTTTTGTGTTGTTGGGCACTTCTGTATTGTTAGCTGAATTTAGGCGGATTTCTTCGTCTCGGTCATATTAGGACAAACAACAGAAATAAGGTTTATTTTTCCTAGACTTTTTTGCCAAACTAGTTAATTAAAATATTTGAGATTGCTCATGTAACACTTTTCAAGACAACATTTTCCAGCAAATTGGTGCGTTTTTCAAGCAATCTGCATTCAAAGGTTTTAGTCCTGAAGGGCTTCCCACAGTAATTAATGTGCGATTTGATAAAATGGATCGTCTCTACTCTACATTTTGGGTCGTTAACGCAAAAACATTTTCCACAGTGGAACAGGTCTTTTTAATCAACAATTAAACTGATATTGAAAAGTTTGTATGTTATTTTGAAGGTGAAGAGGAATTTGCAGGGTGTATCTGGTCTTTAAACACTGCTACTTGATAGTGGTAAAGAAGTTATAAAATGGTATCTAAAATTTTTTGCTTCTTGATTATAACGCAAGTTTAAGGTTTTGAAAGGAAGCGCAAAGAGGTTATCTCGTTGCCCGAATTTAACGGTTACTGGAGAAGGTTTAGCAGAAAGTGTTCCTTGCGTCGTTCGAACTAGAACGGATTCTCCTTTCAAAGAATTTTACAGGGCTGTACCAATTCGCTTTGACAGCTCAAGTAAGAGGTGAGAAAGTGTAGTTTATTGCTCAATATTTACCCTTTATATAAAATCATTGGCTTTGATTTTTATAGGTTTTCAATTTTTTTGGTAGACTTTGGTTGGTTTAAATGGGTTGTGGCCAACGATGTGTACGATATATCTATTTTAGATGAGGTATCGGTCTGAATTTGGTATTAATAATATGACGGACTGTCATCATATGAACTTTATATTTTTTCTTTCACAGGTTCCATTTAAAGATAGATGAAGAAACCCTTTTAACTCGCTTTTGAACAACGTTTTGTTGGCTCTGGTGAAAAAATATCGCTGTTTCAAATTTTAGGTTGATCCTGTCCGAAACCTCCCGGTTGCCCTTATCCACTGTAGAGAAGTTGAAGAAGGATCTTTACATGCTAAAGTTTGGATGGCTAAAATATTCAGTTGTTTTTTCTTTTTTTTTTTTTTTTT